TATCCCACTTTGACTGGCATTGTATTCTGTTAACTGATGACGTGAACTCCGCTTGGAACCATTTTCATAATATCCTGATGCATGCTCAATAATCCAGGTAGAAAAATCTAAAAAAGTTAAATCTGGTCCTCTGGACATTCAAAAAAAACAAAACAAAGCAAATCAACTTTCAGCTTTGTTTTGTTTTTTTTGAATGTCCAGAGGACCAGATTTAACTTTTTTAGACATTTTCATAATAGTTTCCTTTATTTTGTGAACAAACATGCTCCTTTTCGTCAGTTCAGAATAAAGGGACGAGACAGCCCCTGGTTTACTCCAGAGCTAGCTGACCTCCTGCACAGGAGAGATCATCTTTGGGCCACAGCGAGAAAATCTGACTCAGACACTGATTGGTTGAGTTTTCGACAGATGAGGAATAAATGCACAACTGCTGTCAAAGCTGCAAAACGCAACTATTTCTTATCTCAGACCTACAAAAATCTAAAAGACCCTAAAAGATTCTGGAAAACCATCAAATCTCTTTCAGGCACCCCCCAATCATCTGACCTCCCATCACAACTTCTCATTAACTCTGTTCCTGTGTCAAATAAGCACGAGATCCTGAACTGTTTCAACAAACATTTTGTTGCTTCTAGTTCTTTATTTGACACAGTCACTCATGGAAAATCAGCCACTTCACTTAATAATCAAATTTCTACAAATCAAATCCCTTCTACAAGTCAACCCTTAGTTAATCACACCTTCTCTTTTTCTCCATTCTCAGTCAATGAGGTTAATAAACTGTTAAAAGATCTTGATCCTAAAAAATCTGCAGATCCAGATGAACTTCCATCTTATTTCTTAAGGCGTGCCGCTCATATCATCACAGTCCCTGTGACCCACATCTTCAATCTCTCCATAAGACAAAACTCCATTCCAGACACTTGGAAAACAGCCTTTGTTCTTCCTTTGCTGAAGGGAGGTGACCCCACCTCACTGAACAACTATTGACCAATCTCTAAACTCTGCATTTTAGCCAAGGTTCTAGAAAAACTGATAAACTCTCAAATCAAAAATTACCTGGACTCATTTAACATCTTACCTCCACATCAATCTGGTTTCAGGAAACAATACAGCACAACCACTGCTTCACTGAAGGTTCTTAATGACATTGTTGAAGCACTGGATGCTAAGGATTATTGTGCTGCACTTTTCTTAGACCTGTCTAAAGCTTTTGACACTGTGGATCATAACATCTTGTGTCATAGGCTCTCAGAAATCTGTTTCTCAGAACACACCATTGGTTGGTTCTCCAACTATCTCTCAGACCGGAGGCAATGTGTTCAACATAATGGTACTTCCTCCAGTTATTTAACAGTCAACAATGGTGTACCACAAGGCTCAGTCTTAGGAACCACCCTCTTTACAATCTACATAAGTAATGTAGGTAAAAACATCACTAATGCATCCATACATTTCTACGCTGATGACACAGTTGTTTATTGTCGAGCTAAAACTGTTGATAAGGCATTCTAGCTTTTGAAATCTGCATTCAACATCATCCAGACAGATTTTTCCACCTAAAACTTGTCCTAAATGCCGACAAAACCAAAGGGATGCTTTTTTTCAAATAGGAAGTTGGTCCCAGCAGTTCTTCCTCCGATTTTATCCTCAAATGGTGTCCCCATTGAGTTTGTTGATTCCTATAAATATTTTGGTATCTTGGTCGACTCGCATCTCTCTTTTAAGCTCCATGTGGTAAACTTATTAAAGAAACTGAAAGTTAAACTGGGTTTCTTTTTCAGAAACAGATCCTGTATAACCCTGAATGCTAGGAAACGTCTTGTATCTGTGACTTTCCTTTCCTCCATTGATTACGGTGACATTATTTACATGAACGCTCCTACAAGAACCCTGCAGATGTTGGATGCTGTCTATCATGGTGCACTAAGATTCATAACTGACTGTGATTATCGTACCCACCACTGCACCCAGTATTCACTGGTTAACTGGACATCATTAACTTCACGCACTCTATCTCACTGGTACATTTTCATCTTTAAATCACTTCTTGGTTTGCTGCCTTCATACACCTCCTCCTTCATGTCTCTGCGTGAGTGCAGCTACGGCGTGCGCTCTCAGGACATTATTACCTGCAGTGTTCCCTCAGTGAGGACTAAACTTGGCAAAAGGGCCTTCTCCTACTCCGCTCCTGTTTCCTGGAATATCTTACAAAAAGATTTGAAGCTCTCGACCTTGACCTCTCTAAGACGCTTTAAGAAGCTGTTGGACTCATGGCAGGGACCAATGCTGACATGTTCCTGTTTTTAGTTTTCTACATTTGCCGGTTTGTAGCTTTTTTTTTTGTTACTTTTTTAGCCATCCTATTTGTTAAAAAAACAAAAACAATAGTATGACTTTTTATAACTGTTTATTGTTGCTGTTGTCCATTGTTGTCATCATTCTTTGTTGAAATCAGGTCTCTCTTGTAAATGAGTCCTCGAGGCTCAATGGGATTTACCTGTCTAAATAAAGGTTGAATTAATGAATTTGCTTCAAATTAATGACATTTTTTGTTTCAAGTAAATTATTCCATGACCCTTTACATATACTCTATACATTTTTGAGACACCTTGTATAAAAGTCTTTTCACATTATGATTCCATAATTTAGCCACAAAGCGAGACCCCCCCCCCCCCCCCTTAGATGCCTTTGGTTGTTCACACAACAAATCAAAATGGCCAATTGTTGTGGGGCATGACATTACTATCATGAAACCAGCAAGCCACAGCTGCAACACTGGTTAGAGCTGAGCACTGCAAACACCACCCCCAGTAGATTTAAATAAATAAAAAAATCCCATATTTTTGATAAATTTTTAAACTTTTCAATATTTTAAAAGAAATGTGTTCTCTGCTCCATATACATCTGGTCATTCCAGACTCGAGGTTCAACGTTCTTCATTGTCATTCGCGTCATGTGTGGTACATGAGGTGGAATGGAATTGTGTACTCAAGGTCCCAGTTACACCCAAAAATAGCAAAAATATAGAGTACAAACAGAAGCTACAAGGATCTAAGATATACACTAAACACTAATAATGTAAAATAATACGGTATATTAAGCAGCAGCACAAACATGAGTCTGTAGTGAGCAGATGGTATGAATGAATACAGCAGTTTAAAGGCAAGAGATCAGCAGCAGACTCAAGAAGAACTGGGAAAAGGACAAAAGTGTAACTTTGAACTTTTCACACATCTAGCTCAGGTATGAACTGTAAAATCCAAACTGCTGTTTTAAATTATCCCTCCTTTCAGACCAGCCTGTTTGAGTATCAATCTCTGTGAATATTCCATTATCATGACAGCTAATGTTACAGAGGACAGAACAATTACTCACAGCGGCACAGAGAGCATTTCTGTAGCAGTGATCCTTATCTTACACTGTCTCTCCTCTCTCAGCTGCTCTTCTTAGCGCTGCTATCACCTCCTCCCAGAATTCACCCCCCACCCATAACCCTCCACCTTTCACCTCAAGAAAGCACTGTAATCTCATTAATGGAGTAATTTAGAGGACAATGTCAGGGCTCTGGGGAGAGATTTGGTGTCTGTGCAGCTTGGTGAGAAAGAGAAACACATGTTCACAAATAATAATTAGCTATTTTTTTTACATTACAACATAAATACAAGCCAAAATGTACAACGTACAACTAACTAATAAATAATAAAAGCATTTTATTTTAATCAACACAAATGAAAAAAATAAAAATGTCACTCATCCAGTTTGTGTTGCTGCCTGGTCTAATGCAGATCAGCATTTGTAAACAATTATTAGAATGAAAACCTCCAAATGTCTGTTTTTAATCCCTATCATTATTACCAATTAAAATTTTACTCACGTATTAAATATTGTGCTAGTCTTCACAGCTTTGCTGTCACAATGCTAAGTTTTCTCCTCTGATAATTTATCAGTTATGACCATTTTTAAGTCTTTAGACGTTTTCCATTAGAAAAGTGACTGTGAAGGAGAGAAGTCACGTCGAGCTTTTTATTTAAACTTTGCAGACAGTGCAATGACAGGAGATGGATGCTCCTGCCCAACCAACAGGAGTAACTTTAATTACAATCTTCATATTAACATTGAGAGGAAGTGGTGCACACACACACACACACACACACCAGTATATCTCTCTCTCACACACACACACACACAAAATATCTTTAAAGTTATGCACCATGCCATTATTAGATATTAAGGGGTACCAAGGACTGTGTATTTGTATGTCTGTATATATGTGTATACAAGTTTGTTAAAGGTTGGGCTGGGAGGGAATTACAGCGTCTTTCTTTAGCTGAATCCTTGCTGTTACGTAGCCTGCATACCAGCACACACTTCAACAGCAAGTCAGTGGTCTGTAAAATTAAAACATCCTATTCTTTCAGCAAACCCCGTTGTTTTGCTTATACCACAGTCTCTTACATAACGGTAATAACAGCAGTCATAATGGCCCCTAACTCAAAAATGCATAATGGTGGGTGCAGGTAGTCATACGGGGAAGCAGGAGCTCTGGTGGAGGTAAATGGACTCCAATGGTGAGAAGCAGCTGCTTGGAAAACTAGAAACACACTGAACCGGAAATTGGACCAAGATCTATTAAAAATAAGATAATAAAGAAAAGAAAGAGAGGTTCACATTCTGTTTGTTTGTGTGGACATGATGTGGGCTTAGCTGTGTAGGTGCTGCAGGAGTGAGGAGACGAGGGGCAAACAAGACCTGAGTGTAAATAATATACATTATGGCTGAGCCACTGACAGCAGATCTACTGAAGTCAACCAGCTGCAAATAAGAGGTAGATGGAGGTCACACCACCTCTACGCCAACAATTCAAAACAGGAGAAAAAGACTGGTCCACTCTCTGAGATCTCAAAAGATAAATATAATGTGCATATAGACTTCTGTAAGCACCACACATTAACACTGTTTACTTTAAATCCATTTGCTTTATGTACAGTATGTCTCACCTTACTATATCCATTGCCTGATAGATGATTTCTGACTGGTCCACTGCAATAACCTTTTTGGCCCCAGCTTTGGCAGCAAACATAGACAGTATGCCCGTTCCACAACCTACATCCAGAACCACCTGCAGGATGGGGGGGGGGGGGGGGGGGGG